GTGTTGGGAGTCCCGACGCATTGCCCATCACTTTAAGACCTGTGGTGTTGGGAGTCCTAAGGGATAGTCCAACAGGTCTTAAAGCGGTGGCAGTAGTGCTGAGGGATAGTCCGACTGGTCGTGGGGTACGAGTGGTTGACAAAGACATACAAATTTGTATCATTTAATAAAAACAATTAAAATAATTAAGTGTTTTGTTATTCCAAATACTGAATACATTTCACATGATTTTAAACATTTGATTATACTTTTAAAATGCAATGTTTTTGCACTTATTTTTGTTATACAGTATTTAATAAATCAATTAATTTTGCATCGAATTTGTGTCGAGTATTATAGAAGTGTTTCAAAATGCATTTGATTTATTGATTATTAGTTGATTAATTAAAATAATTTACAGTAAAATATTGCATAAATATATGAAACATAACTACGACAACAATTTTAAAAATAAAACTTTTAGATTTATAGTGGAATAGTTAACGATTACTTCAAACAAAACTACAATAAACGCACAAATAATGCCATATTTGTAAAAATAATAATAAAGAAAATACAAATTATGCAGATTTAGGACAATATTTTCACTAAAATAGACACCGATGTTATTATTCTTGCGTAACGACTCAATACCGGACAGTTTTTCAATCAGTCGTTTGTCTCTCAAATAAAATTTTTGCACAAAGTCTACGAAACTCTTCTCCAATACACCGGAATTGTGCAGTATTTTGGCACTAAATGTAATCAATTGTATAATTTGTTAATCAAATGACTATTTAATTATTGCTTTTATAACTAAAGGCAATAATTAAACTGTTTTCATATTTGCCATTTAATGTCTTAAAATAAAATAATGTTTTATACATTTTGTTGAGCTTTTCCTTTACACGATTATCCAAACCCTTTCTGACAGCAAATCCATATAAAGTGGTATAAGAAATATCACCGGTTTTAATGAGATTGAGTTGCAATGGTTTGTAAATAGTGATCATATCATCGATTCTGTATTCACTTGTTATGAGAATTCTTTGTTTTGTAATCATTTTGATAATGAGATTCAAACTAAGCTCTTGTTTCTCATTGATTGTAATTATACGGGGAATCAATTCTTTGAGATCCTTTTGAAGCAAACATTGATTACAATTATTATTTTTAATATTGTTATAAATTAAAACAAACCTTTTTAACAAGTTTATATTGGTAAGAAAACTTATTTAAATAAATCAGTATATTTTGTTTATCAATCAATTCCTGAAATGTGTCGATAATTAACTCCTTTTTATACACAAGCGATGACTGAATATCACTAACGAATAGATTATAGATTATAAACGAGAATATAATCCATGTTATCAATGAGATTCTGTTGTGAATCAATTTTATCGTTATAGCTAAAATTTAAAAATGAAAAATATGGTCATTTTGTGAAAAATCTTATAATATACACATACATTGCCGGAAATATATTGCAATATAATCCAAATTATTTGTAAAACACTTAATATTCGTGATTTGTAACGAAAAATATGAGGCAATAATGAGGGACCAAATTAACGGCGAAAATATCTCAATAATAGCGAACAATCCGTCGGTATTTTGGTTAATATATACGGGAGAGCTTAGCATTGCTATCGGCCTTAGGCTAGGCATAGGGGATATGAAGTCCACCTGAGCCTCCCTTTCCTCGTTGATTATAAAAGCATCCATTAGTATATCCACTCTCTGTTAACATTATTATTAATATTAATACAAAAAAACATGTTTCCCAAAAATAATAGTTTTACATTTTGAACAAGGTATGAAATAGGGTTAACCATAGCGTTATAATCGTCAGTCGCTTTTGTATCAATGGATACGAATTTAATTCTATAAATAATAATAAGTTAAATGACAATTAAATGGATATTAAATTTTTATTATACTTGTTATTCCAAAATTTACTAATTATTTGAAATAAGTAAATATATTTATTGTTAATACAAATCCAATCATTTTTATTATATTTAATTTCAGTTCTTCGCAAACCAATCCTTAATTCAGAGATGTTTTGATTAATTTTTGAAAATTTTTCACATAATCTCATTTTAATAATTTAGTTAATGTATAAGTTATGAAACTTATATAACACATATATTGTTATTATTAAACAAAAAATATTAATAGAAGGCTTATACAGTATTTGAAAAGTGAATTAAAACGTTAATTGTAACTTATAATTATTTTAGAGCTATCCAACTGTTAATTAATTATTTCACTCACTTTCTTTTACTTATTATTAAATGTATAGCATATAAACTAATTAATGTATTTCATATAATAAACAATTAGTTTACATTATTTTGAAAACAAAAATTACTAATTTTAAATTAGTTACACATCTATGTTAGTTATTGTACACAATTGTGTTATACTGTATAACTTGTACATAACATACATTTACAATAAGTCATTCTTATATTGTTAGTACAAAAGTATTGATATTTTAATAAACTCAAAACTCGAGCACACTTTGCATACAATTAGTACAAATAGCACACAATTAATAACAATAAATGTTGTTATTATAATCATTATAATGTAATGAATTGATTAATAAATTATTTTCAATTAAAAGTCCAACAACTGTTCAATAATACTGCACTTTCAAGTATTACTTTCCAAATGTATTATTTTGCAAAAATATTGACAACAAGATTCAATGCAGACAACGGATTGGTACAACTCAACACATAATAACTATAATTTTAATTTTAAATAAAATAATTAAAAAGAAAAATGTGATGTTATTTTAATTTTCATTAAAAACTAATGTTTTTAAATCTTAAGTTAATAGTTATATTAAATTTTGTTTAAATTATATTTTGATTTTAATAAATAAATTCCATAAATAATAAATTAAAACAGTAAATCTTAGGCATTTGTAATGTTGAAAACAATACAAAAACTCATTATAACTAAATAAATCATGTATTTATTACTTATTTATAACAAGTTACAAATGGCAACAAAAATAATGTATAAAATTAAAGCATTTAATATAAATGTGTATTAAATTATAATTAAAAATATAAAACATTGATAACAGAATATTCTTCATTTAATTCCACCAAATATATGATTGTATAGAATTTGGCGGAATGACATTGGTGAAGTTTTTACCACTATTCACATCATTAATGTTTAATACTATATCGTCGGCACCGGTATTGAGCGCCACCACAACCACACCATTGTCTGTCCGTTTGGCAGTCAATACCGACAATTCACGCATATATTTCACGCTAAACCTACGGCTTACGCGCACGGAATCGGGCGAAATAAACTTGCTGAATTGACCAAGGGCGTAATACGTGGGCTGTTTGTACGCCTCCTGAGCCGTCACATTCACATATATGGGTCCACCGCAACCATGTTTGGGCATCCATGTCGGCCCGCCGTTCATATCCAGCACCATATTCCACTCCAGCCAACCCGTTACCCAATTATTTAGATCCTGGTTAATTTCAAAGTCAATAAGTTAAAAACAAACAAATAACGAGTTACATAAATAAGCACTTTTACATCACAAATAACTAATAAAATCATACGTTCATTGAAACAATCAATTAAAATGTACACAAAATTTAGTTTGTTATAAGCTATACTCTAATAATATCAAAGGCATAGTTCTCGGCGTAATCCCAATTGCCATTCATAGCGCCGGTGAGACTACAGGCCTCTGTGTTGATGACGAAGAACTCGGGATAGTTTTGAAATATATAGTCCAACAGTAGGTCAGGAAAGGGACCCTTAATCTCGTTGTAATACCAGTGCATCGCTATTCCCGACACGTATTGTGTAGTGTCCGGGTCTATGAGTATTGTGTCCACGTATTCGCGCAAATGAGGGGACGTGTCGTCAAAGATGAGCAGTTTTAGCTCATCGGTGCCAAAACCGGCCTTCTTAAGGGTGGGTCCCAAATGTAGCTTGATGAAATCACGCTCCTGCGCTGCGGTCATGTTGAGTCCATTAATACCATGGTCCTGCACCGGCTCATTCTGGGCCGTTAGACCCCAAAAGTCCACACCATTAGCTTTGTATGCCTTCAGAAATCTAGTGTTTACGTCAATTAGAAATGTATTTTATGATAAAGTTTTTGGTAAAAATAAAAATAATTTTTTTCTAATATATAAATTGATTTGCGATTCAATAAAAGCCACACAAACTTTACTAAATAATTGGCGAGTATTTGGTAGTACTCTCCTCCGGGCTCTCCCTTCAGAGGTGCGAATACTTTGATCTTTTCGATGGTCTTCATCCACGCCGGAGGACTCCAAGACGTGGCGATCAGTTTGACCCGATGTGGGCTCAACTTCTGGGCCAATTTGATGTATGGTATCTGTTTTATCATAAAATATGGTCATTTTTCGTTAATATTTCGTATTAATCTAGATTGGTTTTGCATATAAATTATGGTAATTTTGTTTTTGTTTAAATCACGTGTTGGACTCAAGTATACGATAATCTATGTGTGTTTTTGTGAGTTTAAAAGTGAAACTGAAATAACATATTTTGATATCAGTGTGAAAAAAGTTATTTTTAATAAATAAACACTTTTATCAATTAATTGAATAAATTTCTATATTAAATGCTAACAAATTGCTCATTAAATAGATAACATTCACTATTATTTTGTAATTACATTTCTCAATTTGTAAACATGTGATTTGTAACACATGCAGTCATTTAATGTGTCCATAACATCACTAACCTAATAAATGTTACCCAGATAGTTTTTATTCTAGTTTAGGGGAATTTTATTTGCATAAACATTAATTAAAACCCTAACAAGTAGAAGCTTAAAATTATTTAAAGATTAGAAATTTTAATAAATAATAATATTTAAATTCTAAAGCATTAATACATAATAAAATTCAAAATTAATCATGATAAATCATACCTTCCACAGGTAATCCTCATGTTGTAACGAAAAATGTTTTAAATCCTTGTCATTGTGGTCATCGTTGTAAGTGTAGGGCCGGACAGAGTAGTCGGTGCCCGATATGGGAACCCTACCGAACGAGTACTCAATACCGGTGGTCGAGAAATAACTATCGATAATAGACAGCGATAACTGATAGGGCACTGAGTTTAACAGCCATCCGGTGGTGTCTGTGAAGGCGCCCCCAAACCCGTATATCCTCTGGTACTCGAGATCTGTGTCGATGGTTATTGTCTGGTGTTTTTTGGTCACATTTTTAGGTCCAGTATGTGTTGAGTTGACCAAGCTTAATAAAGTTTGTTTAAATCGATGGCCAGATTTAGTGCTCTCGTAGACCAGTGCCACTCCCGGTGCGGTCGACTGACGGCCAATGGACGGCAATTCATCACAATAGGTGTGGTTACAGACACACACGTAATCCGATCCCGGGATGTCTTTTCGTATGCATGGCTTCTCTGCTAACACTTTATTTATAAATTATAATTTTGAATCAGTTATCATAAAAAACATTTTGTAAAATAAACTAGGTCAGCTTATATATTTGATTAGTGATTTAACCATTGATTGCATTAATATATTGATTATTAAATATATAATAAAATTAATAAATGGTTTTATTTTTATTTAATACCTCCTGTTGTGAAGAGTATGGAAATGAATGCTAAATGACTGACAAAATCAAAATTCATTCCTTCGGCACAGAAATTGAAAGTTTTATTTTTAACACAAATTATATCACAAACACTAATATTCAGGTCAACTGTAAATATAACAAAATAAAGCCTTTTTTCGGTGTTATCTCTGAAAAAAGTAATGATTTTGCGGAGAGAGTAAAACAAGATATAATTCAACACAATATACACAATAATAAATATAATATACTTTATAAATATGTCTATCAAACACTTAAATAGGTTTTTAATATGTATGTTATAATAAACACAGAATATTGACTTTATCTCTGGCTTTCTTCTCAACAAATATTTTTCTTTTCTCTTCTTTTAAAACCTTTGCTTTCAATTCAATATTGAGATAATTTTTTGTGAAATAAAATTCTTGTTATTATTTTTGGGTAATATATTTCGGAATTTATTATATATTTATGTATAATATTAGAGATAATTTGGTGAAGAATTCATTAGTCTTTGTCCTTCAGTTTTAAATTGGTTTTTATTTTTATTTATATATTTTTCATATGTTTTTATGTATGAATTTCAATACACAGTAACTTTTATTATATCCCATAGAACTCAATGATAAGTTGGTATCGGATATCAACGACAAACATCTTTGTTTTTAATTATATTATTTTTGTAATTCAAACTATAAAACTAGTTGAACCTAGTTATTACAGATTTTATATACCTTTTACTAATCCATCACTTTTAATTTATCATAATTATTGTTTTTTATAAGAGTTATCATGTTGAAAACAATTACAAGTATTATTTAGCAGTATATACGCAATGATAGGTTGTCAAGGATAACATAGGATAGCAGTTATAAGCATTTATATTGTTTAGTAATGTTTGCAATGAAGCAATATTTCAATAATCAGAGTAATTATTTATTAACTTATTTATTTATTTAATGAACCCCTCGGTCGCCCCATATATTATGATACCATCAAATATAATGTGATAATTATTATAAACGTTTATTGATTTGAATATTCAAATTTAAATATCTAAATGTCATTTTAATTTTATTATGAAATTGACAAAAAGCACATAATATTCTTGAATTTGTTACCGGAATTTGACTAAACATTTTGTTTATTTTATTTAATCAACACTTAAATCATAAAATAATCGCTTTTAAACGGTTTATAATAAAGGGGTTCATTGTCTTGGGTTAATATTTTAATAGCACTTATAATATAAAATATTATCTCAAAAAAAAACACTTAATTTCTTTTAACAAAAGGTATTTAATGCGAGGTTTAATGACTCGTCGATTAAAACCATTAGTTTAAATACAAAAGACACAATAATTCAATTATTTTTTTGTATCAACATGTTAAAATTATTTTATTCTAAAATTATTGAAAGCCAGGTTTAATAAAACTTATTTATGATATAATTATTTTACACAAAATATTAATTCTGTGAGAAACTTAGCAAATGTTTTAATTATAGTTTTGCATAAACTCAGAGAGTTATATCTATTACAGCAAATTATTGACTGTAAAACTAACTTAAATTTAGTACATTTTGTATTTATTTTATATTTACAAGTTTTTAATTACTTTCTGATTAAATTTTATAATTAAATTTATTAAGCGATATTTAATAGCTATTAAAATTATAAGTTATGCAATGATAGTATGAAAATAATAAATAACTACATAATTAAATCAGTAATAATGCTGATAGCATTAATGATAGTTAATGATAGCAATAGCATAAAATAATACTAATTGCCATGATATCATTAAATTAAAATCAATTCACACGATAATACAAAAGTGTGCCTGATTATTACAATATAAAAGTATACAGCATATTTGACTACATTTTACCCAAATAATTTATTTGTAAACTTAAACAGTATTTCATATGTTAATCAGTTTATAAAACAATTAACACGTGTTGCTATAATTGTGTTATTGCCTTAACATTTGTCTTCAATTACCATAAACGATTGCATTTCAAACTAGATTTACAAATTTTAAAGTTTATCAATAATCAACAATTATTGTTAACTATATAAAAAGGCAATATAAAATTGTTAGTGTATTAAGTCAACATGCTCACCCTATCATTTTAAATACAAACTATTCATGTTTAATAATTAAATCCAACAAGCAACTTTATTACATACAATACTCTAACCAATGATTAAAATTAATATATTCTTGTATTCAATATTACATCGTTTTTCTTGTTGTGTGTAAATAACTATACATTACTATTAAAAGTAATTTTTTAAAATCATATTCGTTACATACATATACATTACATAAAACATATTCTGTTCAGTCATTTAAAAGCAATATTTATATAAAATAATAAGAATTATAATAAAAAAATAATAAAAGTGTTATTAAATGAATTTTCATGAAATGTCTTTTTTTATTTGGAGATCTCTTTGGAGCCTTTGAATGGAGTTCTTGAGCCGTATTTGCTATAGAAAGTCACTTTAGCCTCATTTCGATGTCCGGTCCTCTCATCAAACGTTTGACACTTAGAATACGGCGGTATATAGAGGTGTAGGGAAACGGCCGGATAGGTATGGCTTCGGTTCTCCACTCTATGCAAACCGATCTCATCTATTGGCACACAATTGAGAGACAATTTGGTTATGACATACATTCAAATCATTTTAATCACCAAAACTAACCATTAATATAGGCGACAGCATTGGTCTTCATTACGTTCTCGTCCAACACTTTCATCTCTTCAGTCTTGTCCTCCTTATTGTTGTTTAACCCGTCGGCCGAAGACTTCTTCTCCGGCCACTCGAACCGTATCTCATGTAGACTTCCGGTCAGCATCTGATACATATATGTGATCATTAAATGTAATTTTTATTTCCAAAATACATGATTAAATTTAATTTTTTAATTATTTTGAGAGTTATTTATTTGTGTGTGTCTGTGAGTTAGTAATACTGGTTATAAATTATCGCTGATAATGGTGTGCATTATTTACTGTACAAACCTTCATAAAACAATGGGCATCGGAGTGGTCGTGAATGCTCGACCCCTGGCCTTCAGACCAGCACAGGAGCATCAGATTGTATTTGCCGTTTCCTTTGTCCACTAGATTTCTTGTGTATCTAAATATGTGATCAAATAATCATTATTAAAATCATAGTTTTAATCATTATTTCCGATTTAAATGTTTACAAAACACGTTATTATTGAGAACTAATTCAGGAAATTGCAAAATATATCAATTTTAAAGACGTATTCTTAAGCCATTGATTTTAATCAACCATCATTAAATATGACTGACTTGTCATTACTGATAATATCCGGATAACTTGTTAATTAGTATTTGTGCTATTTTTTCATCTAATTCTTATGAAATAAACATTTTTGTGGTGTTTTTCTCTATATTTTTATCATTTCATACGAAATATTGGGAAAACTCAATTGTATAGTCATTATGTCTATCATATTATATACATAATCAGTTTTCTCTTGTTTTTTAAGTGTTGTTTCTCTGGTTTAACTCAAATCAAGATTAGATGCAGTTTTTGTATATAATTAGTACATATCTGACGATTGTATCTCTAAAGTACTGCACTCTTGTCTTTTATGGTGTCATAGCATATGGTGTGTCCAAATAGTTATCTAAAATTCATATACTGTTTCCATACACTTATTAAATAACAAATTAATATTGAAACAAATTGATGAGGGTAACTAAGGTGTGGGGCCTAAAGTGTGAATGCCTTAACATTGATAAACTTGCATAACTGGCAATATTCAATAATTAATGCTATTGCCTTTGTACCCGCACATACGTGGCTATGCCCGCCATGAATTATAATCAAAGTCTATGACATCAATCTCATCATTATTTCTATTCACGCAAAGAGTTTATGCAATTCTTGACTCAAAATATTGATTAATTATTATATAATGTCTAGATTAATTTAGATAATCATGATTAAAATTGTGTGGAATAAAAAATCGCACACTTATGTACCAATGCATAAACCAATGCATTGACCGAGATAAACTTGATTAAACTGGGTTTTTTAAAACCTTCCCTGGTTAATTTTGCTATTATTATTGATAACAATATTTTACATATCATACATATACTGTACATATAATATTCATTGTTAAAAACACCTTAAGAAGTAAATAAGTTTGCTGTTTATTATATTAATTAGAAATGTAATTAATCTTGATTGACTGTAATAATCAAACAAACGATCATTAAAACCAATAACCAATACATGATAAATAAAAATATTGATTTGTTAAGTAACAAACAAGTTATTTGCCATAATCTTTAGGTCAATGGGACTAAACAACATATTTTTCCAATAGTTTTCCAATAGATCTTTCAATAATAATCTCTCAATTGTGTGCCAATAGATGAGATCGGTTTGCATA